TTGCTGCCTTGTGGAAAAGTTCCATTCAGCCTTTTCAGTAATTATGAAATTTTTGTTCGTTATCAAACTCAATTTTTTTTTGTCTTGATTTATAAAGCCGGGAATAGATTTTGTGAGTTCTGCTTAAAGCATTTGTCTTTGCTATTTATAGATAGGACACCTTGACTATATTATGAATTGGAATTCATGTTCGAATTTCCTTTTATCCAAAAATTCACAAATCCTGTTTTCATCGGTTTTGTGTGCCTACCTGTTTCAATCTTCAAACAATAATTGCCTAACGGAAAGAATACAACGTTTTTTTCTTCTTTTTCTAGTTTAATGTCATTTAATCTTGCTGTCTGGATATTTTGTATTTTTATTCCAGTATATATTGAGGCGTTTCTCTGAACTGTTATTTATCTGTCTTATCTGTGCACTTGAACAAGTTGTATTAGTTTTTAGAATATGAGCTTGGTTGGTGTTTGCTAGTTGTGATTCAACTGCATTTTACCATTTGGTGTTAGTCTGTTTATTTATTAGTGCTGCATCTATCAGAGGAAAATCATTAATATTAAAGGGTGGTGGTCGTCGCGCAGCGCGTGTTCGAATTTCATGTAAATAAACAATGTATTTTACACGCGTTGTATACGTCGCTATGTGTCCATTTCGAACAGGACGCGGTGCGACGACTGCCGTCCTTTAAATACGCAGTTATAGTATTTAATTAGTTGTCTTTTATTAATAATTATCTAGTGGATATATGCCTAGCTCCCCATAGGTGGGTATAATTTGGAACCAACATTAGTTAGGTGCATCTTTTCTACATCTGTTTTGTAACCCCTCTCATGACCCCAATTTTCACAACCATACGTTGGACGGATGAGTTTATCAAATAAAGAGATTGTTGTAATTCTTATATTTTGTTCATAACCAATTTTCTTTTTTAGTACAAATGATGCTTTTGGGCTTTTTTTCCTCAAGTTTGTTAAATTTTACATTCGAGCTCAATATCCCACCTAGTTAAATCGGTTTATGCGAAAAAAAATGTAATTGGTTTAGTGGCCTGTTAGACTTGTTAAATATCATTATTTTGGTTTTATCTGTTTTTACAGTGAGCTTTACGTGTTTTGTGCATTTTGAGAGATTGCTCAAACTGTTTGTAGGCCAGATTTTGTTTCAGTGAAAATAACTAGATCATTCGCATACGTGAGACATACATTGAATAATTTCTGTTTTACGCCTGAATTCAATTTAAAGGGCGGTGGTCGTCGCGCTGCGCGTGTTAGAATTTCGCGTAGTTTCCACTCGTTGAGTACGTCGCTATGGGTCCCAACATGGTGTGACGCGGCGACCACAGGCCTTTAATGATTAAATTACTAACCACTCGTTTTTACTTTGTTTTGTACTTTTACTGTCAAACTTTTAAGAGTTCTGTACATATTACCTCTAATACTATATTTTAGTATATAGTATATATACCCTCATGCCAGACACTGTCGAAAGCTTTGCGCAGGTCACCAAAGCAGTAATAATGCTAAAGTGTGACACAACTGCAAGCTCACAAAACAACAGCAATGACATTTGAGATTTTATACCGCATACTGGGGCTCTCATATATATATAAAATATTAAATTATACGTGGGCTACTACTCGTGCATATTTGTGTTGAGTTCACTCAGCACATGATATGTGTGTTCAATTGTTTGTTTTCTCGTGTGGTTTCCTTTATTATTCATCGCGGCACCTTAAGATAAATACTAGCTCGTTGCTCGGCATCGTGCCGGGTTCGTGTTCGACGATGAAGCTGGTTTTCAACAAGTCGCGTCTTCTACACTAATTTCGGCTGATATTTCACGATTCAACAAAAAAAAAAAAAACTACAACAGCTGTTAATATCATTCGAATATTTCTCATTTAGATACTGTATGATGGAAAGCACGCCGTGATGCACATCAGGGGATACTCGTATGCAAATGAGACTCATATAGAGCCTCGTTGTGATATGCAATAAATGGAATGAATAACTGAAAAAAAACGCGCTGTTTACGTCGCATGTGACCCATATCGATCACGGCGCGGCGCAGCGACTGTTGCGCTATAACTCCCGAAGTTGTGCCTAACGTATTCCCAAAAGGGTTAAATGGCAATTGAAGGTTTTAGACGTAAGGTAACTCTGGGACCTTATACTCTCAGTATAAATGTAAATTCATAATTATCTTTTATTTAATTCGGAGGTTGTTGTGTTCTCGCAAAATGTTGAATCTACCATCTTTGAAGTACTTTCATGCAGATTCATATACCTCTAACATACTTGTTTGTTTGTGTTCTCTTTAGGCCATCAGTCACAATTTACTTATTGTTCGGCAGGCAATAACATTAAATCACAGTGCAAAGGAAGTCCATACTGGAACATTCCGAATTGATTCCTGCGAAGAAATCGAAACCCGCGTACGTCCTTTTTCCTTCACAACAGCGTGGTTTCAGAAGCAGGAAGAAGACTATCATAAACGTGTTGTAAGGATTCCGATGGAAGACGTCGTGCAGCCGAGTGAGGAGTGATTATCTGACCACATCACCCCCGCGGCCAATCAGATAAAGAAAACCTCTAATTCCCACAGGTAAAGCGTTTTCTGTCAGCTGTAAAATTCATGGCGATGCTCCGGTCGTAAAAGTGGATTAACAACATATACTTTTGGCAACAAGATAAGTCAAATTAATCGGTGGAGATTGAGTGTATCATCGGCAAAGCTTGATCGGAGATATAAACATTTGCCTGCATTACCGCATAAGAAGCACTGAGAAAAGAAGTTTCAGATTTTGCAGTTTGTGATCAACGTCGGTTTTTGCGAGGAGTGGTACTGTGGGCGCATGTTGTATGCTCCGTGTTGAAGGACACTATATGCATAGGTTGTAGTTCACGCAAGGCATTTGCTACATGCACAGTATTTTGATAAACCATATAGTGTGTAATCTACGTCTCTGAACAGTTGGACGTTCGACGGCCGCCTGCGCTTGATGTAGTGAGCCCAAACACACAGCAAAGCTGTGAAGAGGTCAACGCCGAGATATCGTAAGTAAGTTTCATTATGAAAGGTTCTCATTATAAGTCCTTGGTACGTGCGATTATCATTTAGACTACCAGCATGCATGTCACCCTTAACGAAACACTCAACCCGACTACCAATCCCACTATTATTGTCAGAAGTAATGAATTACTGTATCGGGGTGTCTCCAATCCCATTCATCTTATCTAACATCTTTTGTTGTTATTTCTTCGACCGTGTCTCTCGTTGCGGATTTTTGCATATGACTGAATGCCGATATAAACGGTAACGAGAAGCTCCAGCGAGTACGCCTCGTGGGTTGGTACGGCCCTTAAAAGAGACTTCAGCGCTTTGTGCAATATCTAGCATCTATTATGTAATCTTTTATATCTCATGGGAAGCGCCGTTATATAAGGTACAATACAGTTGCAATGCGATGTGTAATGGTCGCCTTTATCTGGCATTTAACAGTACGTGGATCAACGTTGAATGAACCGACTCAGTTAATCTGTAGCACCGATCTAGGTTTTGATCATCATACAGTTTGTAGAGACATCTGAAATTTAATCACAGAGTCCAATAAATATATACGCCCAGCTCTTGCTGAGACATCTAATCGTATGAACTGAATCGTTTGGAAATATTAGTCTAATCGCGGGCGGCAGCGGCATGCTTCTATGAATGTTTTGAGCTCCATGCCGTGATCTCCCACAGCACAAAATTCAATTGATAGTCCCTTAATAACACGCTCATTAGACGCAAGATGGACACGTTTATTTACCTTAGAAACTCTTATTGTGAGATAAGACACGATGCTTCAACTGACCTACCATTAAAGAAACATGCTATGGTTTGTATGAAAGGACTTTTCCCTTTACACGTCCCCGGTAAAGGTTAACTCGGCCATTACACAGGAATAACAGGGACAGCCACAACAATATATTTTTGTTCTCTGTGTGAGTGAGTCAAATAAAAAATAAATAATAATAATGTCGTTATCGTGCATAAGATACGTCATATATACTGGCATCGACGATACACAAGGCCATAGAAAGAAAGGCGGGGTCTATCATACACTTCTACATCACTGGGTTGAACACACTAACGAGCCGTCTGACTTGTTAACACAGGACACACATAATATCAATATTCTGTTGAAAGGCGAGGTTTGTTTATTTGTGTGTAAGTACTCCATTGTGATGTCTGTTTTATTTATCTATTTTAGCGTTTGATTGTGCTAACTGTCCTTAATTTGAGACCGGAACTACAATCGTAAGAAGCGTACAGGATACAGCGACACAGTGACGATCAAATTCCGCTTATTTTATAGAACGTGTTATGTTGGAGGAGTCTACGGTAATGTACTCGCATAATCGTGACGACACTAGCCGGAAACGACACTGATATCACAAGAGTTCGGACAGCGCCAGTGAACGATGTACCGCGTATGTCTAGATCGTCATGCCGTATCGCGACGGCTCACAGTACGAAACAGCAACCAGTCCAGCGGCCCCTGAACGCGACGTCTCCGGTACCGTCAGCGTAACTGTCGAGGTCGTCACATTCCTTGCCAACATCTTGCCTGTATTAGTGGTTGTTAAAGTTAAGAGCCGTACCGATCGTACAATAACGGACTATTTAATTGCCGCCCTCTCTACCAATGACATGCTCGCAGTACTGACTACACTCCCAGTTTCGCTGCCATCCTATTTTAACGGAGAGTGGCTGGGTGGGAGAAGAGTTTGTGAATTTTACCAATTCTGTTCATTTCTGTTTCAAATATCAGCCATGTTTCTAGTAACTGCTATGTCTGTCGATAGGCTGATCGCCCTTTGGCGGCCGCTTAATTATCGGAACTGCCGGCGAATATACCATGCAGTGACCACGATCGTCGCCATATACGCAGTTGCGATTGTCTTGTCTGCGCTTCCATTAACCGGACTCGCCCCTCCAGTGATCGTCAGCCCCGCTGGACGTCTCTGCCGATCATGGTTGGTTACGAGAGCGAAACGATGGCACGAGGCAATATTTCCTCTGGTGCTTCTCTCTGTCGTCTGGCTGATCATGTTTGCTGTGTTCGTAACCAATGGATTTCTTTTAAAGCATTTAATCCACTACAAAAAACGTCTAAAACATCCGAATTTAAAGACATACATCGACAAGAAATCATTTAAGGACTTTACTCGCATGGTTGTGGTCGTGGTCGTGCTATTCTATATAACGTGGTTGCCTGTATTGGTAAGTATTATTATTTCGAAATTCATACTCCCTAATCCAAGTTGTTCAAGTTGGGTATAGGGTTCAATATCAGTATTATGAAGCGTGTTGTTCAGTGTCGTTGTGTTAATTCAAATGTTTACCATCGATTTGGTTCAAGTTCATAGAGTCTTCCTAATATCACCAGCGCAATCAATAATTCAAGTGTACCGGACGAAACACTTGAACCCACACGTGTTTCAGGTATTTATTGTATATCTTTATGTGTATAAGACCGGCTGTGTTTGTTTGAGTACTTAGGGGTACCGTGACTAAACACATATACCGATATAATACCGATTTGTTCAAGACAGATTTGTGAACATTGGCAACACCTTCAGCGCATTGGTCGGCCAATTTTGTTGGCGTGTTGTGAAAAATATTAAAATGTGACATTACTATAAACGTAATCGTAACAATGACAACGCGTTTGGACACACACACGGTACAGATATCCTAGACCTTAAAGGGGAACCTTATAAACCCAGGGATTGCACCAAAGAATCATGGGACATTATTGTTTAAGTTGCTTACAATGTTAATCTATCTTTTGTTATCCATTGTAATTTTAATCCAGAAAGTAAATTCGTTGTGAGATTAGGCTTAATTGGAGGTGTCCCTTTAAGCATGTGGTCGACATGAATTCTATTGTGTTCACTTCCGGATTCCGTTGCGTAATCTGTGGTTGATTAATATTATTTCATCGCGTACATCGTACTGCGTTTATATCACGCAGCTTTCAAAGTCACTTTAGTCCGAGTGGGTGTTGACAGACTAGGCCCGTCAATTTCCTGGTATACTAACAGGATGTTCTGCGATACCATGCATATCCAGCAGTGTGTTACCAAACCCAGGCATTTCCCTCAGGCAATTATTGTTAGAGATCGCGTAGTAATATCGGAAATGAGAACTCGGCGGACGCGTACGGATTGATTCATCAATGCGCGTAAACCGATTACGTTCGACTGGGTGTGTGCGGCGCTGAAGAGATAATGTGATGTGAGGTCAGGAACGCGATGTTATTTGGATTTCGTATTTAATAGAACTCACAAAATTCGTACTGCACTAAATATACCAATTAGTAGTGTTTTCAATTGTATACAGGAATGACAGATTTCTGCAGAATGTTGCTAGCGTACCGTATGGGGGTAATTCAATACTGGTGATTAAGTATCGAGTTCAATTCACGGTCACAGTGTATAGTACTGCTGTATGATGAACGTGAACACAAATGTAACGATGTTACCTTCGACGTCTTAGATGCAAGCCTATGATCAAACTAAATAATAATTACATTTATTGTTATTCGATTCTTTTTCACTTTTATTCCTATCAATTGTAAACCTGAAAACTCTTAAATTGAAACTACGCCATTTTATTTTGAAAACAAATCCCGTCTTCGTCACGGTAGTAGGTACATATCGCATACAGCTTTGCCATGATTCTTGTCAACGCTAAATCATGACTACACGGTAAGCGTCGCGAGTGGTTTAGTCACTTGACTCGTTGAACAACCCAGTATCATGCATTCACCGACACGCACGTCTATTATATTATATACAACATCCCTTGCAGAAATTAATAGCGCATGTCAAAACCAGACCAGTATGGTGTATTAATCCCTGATTATGGCGACACACAGACACTATGAAATTCCAAAGAACAAGCCACGTTTCTTGATAAGTCGCATTCTGTAAATTTCATTCTTTGGTGCCTTATGCTATTTTTATTGTGCGGTGTTCGCCCCCACCCCCCTCCGCCGAAATACAAAATGCTGTATATTATATCAACATATTTATGCTATTAATACACGCTGCGAACTGCATAACCACCTGCCTATTCAATCATACACGTTGATGTAGCAGCGTTTAGTAATTGGAGAATATATCTAACATGGAGGGACGTATAATCATTAACATTCTTGTAATCAATCGGGGTTGCGCATGATTGAAATCATGTCTTATTCAAGTTCTTATAGCCTATTGTCATGGTTACTAGTTAGAGTACCTCTTGTGGGGACATTGGTGCTGTCGTGGGCATTTTGTATTGTACGTTTGACGTACATGGAACTTCCATTTCCAAAGCAAACCACATCTAATATATAATTCACACGGAGTACTATATACATAGGCAAGACACAATACAATGTACTAGTCTCAGCGGTTGAAATAATAAATGACTTGATATATGCAATGGCTGTGTTCGGGTGTTGCAGTGACACGCGTGCGCCTGCCACCCTCAGTCTAACCGTGACGTCAGATGCAAGTTAGTACGCTTGCCGTGGTGAAGCCGTAACTTTTAGTCCGAGCGAGCAATTAATGTTGTTGGGAATGGTTTATACTACGTCACAACATGAAGCCATAATACAATTTGCGTCTGAAATTGAAGAACTTGAATTATAGAGATCAAAGAAATGACATACGCACTCGAAGCCGGTTACAACAGGCGGCTGGAAATAATTCTTTAATTTGATGTGACACATTAAGTTCAATCGGTTCAGTTTCTTGGTAAAGTAACGATTGTTCCCATTGAAGAGTAACAATTCATGGCCCTTGGATGAATTGAGTATTTTAACTTTATCGATTTATGCACTCGGCGCGTATACTTCAAGTACACAGATAGCAAATAGACTATTTCTGAAGATGGATGCTGCTCTTTCAACAGCTGTACGGTCGAACGGTTTCCATCCAGAATAGCCTACAATCGCCACGTGTGATAATGCCATTAACGTGAAGTGCATTCGTCGCTTTGATTGTTCAAAGTCTTTTTTACTACTTCATGTCCTTTCAGTTGGACGTCGGTTTATGCTATTTCACGGAGTTATGAACATCAGAAGTAGCCACAGCGGAATGTTTTAATTAGCGTGGCATCTTTATCGATACGTCATAGATTCTATCCTTTTATCTCATTCGTGATTATTGTGCGAGGGTTGGTCTTGACAGCATCGGAATGGGTTTAAAACTGTTACATTGCTATAACTTGCAGAGTATATGTAGTTTTGTCGATACATTGCAGCAGCGTTCGATATTGATTAGACAACCTGAAGACTAAGACTCAAGGGCCTATGCATCGATAGAATAAAGAAAGTATTCGAATATGGCACTCGGCAGACGATGTATGGAACGAACGCTAAATGTGTCATTGATTGAGCATAGACAATCGATTTCTTGTCAAGTTACAATTAATGTCGTGGCCGATGCCATCCGCCAATTACGGATGATGTAGACATACGGCTATTGAGGGTGTTGAACATTACATCTTGATAAAAATAGCAAGGTACGATTTATTGTAAAATAAGTTAAAACGTTGTTGCGAAAACTCTCAAACTTTGGTGATGACGAATTGCTGAAAACGCCAGTGCGCCAACGCTTCGAATTACAGGTAACATTTGGGGTGGATGCGGAGTAGCGTTTTGACTATTTCATTTATTGCCAACATAGAATTTTTGTTTTACGATATGTCATACCGAAATTTATCAAACAAAATTATCATAGCCATTTCCTCTTTTGGTATCAATTAATTTTGCTCGTGTGGGAGAACAGATGATACTTTACATTTTTTACATTTGTTTATCTCCATAATAATGAATGGAGGATGTGAATCAGATATGGTACTTGCATTCACGTGACTAAGTAACGATATATGTGTCCCATGTGTTAGTTACGGTATTTCTGACTAATAGTCAATTAGTAAGTGAATTATGACCCATATTATTTACATGCGCTGGTTTACCACGTTTCATTCCCAGGTTAACAGGCTGCTGGTCATGTGTTGCAACCGTCTCTATAGCCCGGTAATAAAATGTTACCAATAATATTGCCTGCTGGCCACGTGTTGTTACCGACTCAACTGCCTGCTGGTTATTTGTTGTTACCATTTATTGTCGGATGGCCACGTTTTGTTACCGTTTATAGTGTCTGCTAGCCACGTGTAGCAATGATATTGCTTGCTGGGTATATGTTGTAACTAAGTCTAGATCTATCACATGTATTGTTGTTCTCATAACAGATAATGGATGTGAAGCCAAATTTGTTCTCCATAATATCCCAGCGTTGTCATGGTAATTAAGAATTCATCATCGTTTAGAACAGCACATCGTATCACATCGCATTGGCCAACAAGTTAAAGCGGGGGGGGGTCACCTGCGCACGCGCGGGAATTGAGTCCCAAGCGACGATAACAACACACGCTAAAAACGCAAAGGGTAGACGCTTATTTGTAAACAATGACACGCTATGGCCATCTGAGGCATGCGCAGGTGACGACTCCCCCGCTTTTAAATATGACTTTGAGAACTGTTTCCATTAACGCCAGCGATTTGTCATACAATGACATATCATATGTACTAGTAGTAGTTGTTGTTGTTGTAAGTTTATTATAATAAAATGAGATAACAACTTTCCTTCAAAACCTGATTATATTGGTTGAGGATAATGTACTAGTACTTAATTTTCTTATAACTACGGATTAACATGTCCTCTGTGAAAGGTCTTTTCAACAAAATTTGTTACGTATTTAACATAATTATGTAAAAGCAATTTTGATTTTCCGAGTCTGGTAAATTGTACACCATCAACTTTTCTCTAAATGAAAATGTCATTCCAAATCATCGTTTATATCACAGCGCAATAAGTAATGAAACTCATCTTTATTGAACATGCTCTTATAGAAAACGTATATTCTATTTTCAAGCTGATCGTTTTAAAATCAGCACGCCAAATGTAACTGAACAAGAAAGGAACGTTGACGATGGGTCGTATGTGTTA